AACAGAAACATTCATCTATAAAATAATAATTGAACAGAAACATTCATGTATAAAATAATAATTGAACAGAAACATTCATCTATAAAATAATAAACAGAAACATTCATGTATAAAATAATAATTGAACATTATTTATCTGAGGAGCAGCTTTGAGTTTAACTCCATCACTGAACTCTCATCTTGAACAAGCATGAAGGCGACAGTGGAAAGAAAAACTCCCTCATGAGGAAGAAACCTTTAGCAGAACCAGGATCAGGACAAGAGGACCATCTGCTTCGACCGGCTGGGTTTGGTAGGAATAGATACACAATGGCAGGTCAAGAATCACATGTTAAGATAGAAATAGTATCAAATGAAAACTATTGAATTTTAACAATTCATTTAAGAACATGAGGTCAGTTTGTCCTCTAGTAGTCTAAGTCTATAGCAGCATAACAAGCTGACCCTAACTATAGGATTTATCAAGAAGGAAAGTCTTAATCCCAGTCTTAAACTGGACAATGTGTCAGCCTCATGGACAGAAACTGGAAGTTGGTTCCACAAGAGAGGAGCCTGAGAACTGAAAGATCTTCCTCCCATTCTGTTTTTGTAAACTCTAGGAACCACAAGTAAACCTGCAGTCTGAGAGCGAAGTGCTCTGTTAGGAAAATATGGAACAATAAGATCTGTAATATAAGATGGAGCTAGGTTGTTGAGGGCTTTGTAGGTTAGAAGTAAGATTTTGAATTCTATTCTGGATTTGACAGGGAGCCAATGGAGAGAAGCTAAAACTGGAGAGATGATCTCTCCCAGTAACTCCAGTTAAGACTCTGGCAGCAGCATGTTGGATCAACTGAAGACGTTTTAAAGAAGTATTTGGACACCCAGATAATAAACCATTGCAATAGTCCAGTCTAGACGTGACAAATGCATGGACCAGTTTTTCTGCATCATCTTTAGATCACATGTTTCTAATGTTAGTGATATTACGCAGGTGGAAGAAGGAGGTTCTAGTAACGTTTTTAATGTGGGGGATAAAAGACATGTCCTGATCAAAAATAACACCAAGATTTTTAACATTAGAGCTGGAGGACAGATTAATGCATCTAAGGAGGGAGAAAGACTGAAACATTCATTCCTAAGGTGCTCAGGTCCAAAAACCAAAACCTCAGTCTTGTCTGTTCAACAGGAGAAAATTAAGGGTCATCCAGGTTTTTATGTCTTTAAGACATGCTTGTAGTCTAAGTAGCTGATTGGATTCATTGGGTTTAATGAGTGACATCATCATCGATCAGCTGGACCTTTTGCAGAAAAATAAAAATAATGTTACGTACGTCTTTAAACGTCCTGCGGCCTAAAGTTTGAGCACATTGATCGAGACGCGTTTACGTGTTTTATTTTGGGTGTTTTTAAATGTTTTATTTATTTATTTGGGGGGGTGTTGGTGTTTTTGGGTGTGTTCCTGCTCCTCCAGCTCAGTCAGGCTGTGGTGGAAACTGGTTCTGGAACAGAAGGTGGTTTCAGAGCCCAAGCAGTGCGTATGAACCCGACTATAATCTGCTTGATACCGCTCCGGCCCCTGACCCTCCAGGGAGGTGACAGTCCAAGTCCCTTCAGCTGTTTGACTTCGACTCCCTCTCTCTGAATCGTGACGTTCTACTGGACGGTTCTGTCAGAACCTGAACACTGAGGAGCAGAACTTGTAGAACAAAGAGGCGCGATGAGACTCTGCTGTCCTGCGTGTTTCACAGAACACACATGTTCTTTGAGAGACTCCAGCAGAACAAACACTGGAGTCTGTTGCCATGGCAACGTTAATGAGCAACACATGTGGACTTCCTGTGTGTGTGTGTGTGTGGGGGGGGGGGGGCAGGAAGTGACCAAACTAAAACTCTTTCACATCATTAACCAGAGAAACAAAGGGGAACTTTTCAAAATAAAAGAACCCACAACTCAGATTACTGTTTTTATATATTTTAAGATTAATTCATGAGGAGAACCTTCATTTTCCACATGACGTTTCTGGTAACAAACAGTTTTAAACTGTTGTGAGGTTCACCTGGACAGGAGTTTACCTGAGAGAACCAGGAGAACATAGAACAAGGAACCTTCAGCAGCTGGATCTCGGTTCGGTTCTTCTCTCGGACTGAAATGAACAGGGTCAGGACAGTGAACTTTATTCTGACAAGATCAACCGGAAGTAGCTGTGTGTTCTTCATTAAACTTGACCAGGTGGAAAAGTTTGAATTTGAGCAGAACCAGAGACTGGGGGGGTCAGACCCGTTGACTTCACATGGACGGACAGACTCTCTGCAGCAGAACCAGGTACATTATTTTATTCTGATTCATGTTTTAATCTGAAAGATGAAGGACAACAATAAACAGGAAGTCACTTCAAAACACATTTAGAGTTTAATGACTGAAAAACTAAGACTGACCAAGAGCTGGTGATAAAACAGATTGTGTCGTTTATTAAAGTTTATTAAAGTTGATTAAAGTTGATTAAATTGTATTAAAGTTTATTCAAGTTTATTAAAGTTGATTAAATTGTATTAAAGTTTATTAAATGTATTAAAGTTTATTAAAGTTGATTAAATTGTATTCAAGTTTATTCAAGTTTATTAAAGTTTATTAAATTTTATTAAAGTTTATTAAAGTTTATTCAAGTTTATTCAAGTTTATTAAATTTGATTAAAGTTTATTAAAGTTTATTAAAGTTTATTAACGTTCATTAAATTTGATTAAATTGTATTAAAGTTTATTAAAGTTTATAAAAGTTTATTAAAGTGTATGTTTGAGTAAACTCATCTGACAGATCATCTGAGCCAGATTCACAAACACATGAACTAAAACCTGGAGCTGAAGGTTTTACAAAGTCTTTTAACTTGACAACATCTGTTCACTTCCTGTTACTGACCATGATGGACTGAAGCTGCAGTTTGTTTTTGATGGACCCTCATCTGCAGAGACATTTGTTCTGGTGTTCAAGAACCTGTTAGAACTCCAGAGTCCCTGTCCACTGGAGTCCCTGTCCACTGGAGTCCCTGTCCACTGGAGTCCCTGTCCACTGGAGTCCCTGTCCACCAGAGGCCCAGTCCACATTGAAGCCAGTTTGACCCTACCATGGACTGAGGGAATCAAGAAAGAACTCCCGTTACATTTTGAGCAGACTGAAACCTGCAGCTGTCCACATGGACAGGACAAATGTCCTCTGGAGACACTGTCCAAAGTATCACTCAGCCCTCTGTGAATAGCAAGCAGCCATCAGGGCACTAGCGACCAATTGTTAGGCTGATGGTCCTCCTTGATCATGTGAACAGCTGGTTCTGGATGTCAACAACAAACTGGTTGATCCACAATGAGAAGATGATGTTTATAAGACTGAGTTTGTTGCAGCTCCTCACACTGAAGGTTTTTCAGATGAACGACGAAAGGTTTCAACAAGAAGAATCCGTCCAGAGGACCTGACTCCACATGGTTAGATTATCTGCCTGGATTATTGAGCATGCAGCAGGAGGAACTGCTTAAAAAAAACTGCCAAAAACTACCAGTATCATGCAAACCAACCATCAAGTTCTGTAGAAACTCATGAAACTTCTGCTCTCGTTCAAGGCGGACGCCTTCTCCTCTCCCTCCTGCTTTTTGCTCTCTTGTGTGTCTCGGAGCTTCTGTTACACATCTTCCAACCAAAAAATACTATGATGGATCTGGTGAGCTGGACTTTCAATGCAATCGACAAAATCTTTTCCACAAAACGACAGGGCCCTGGAGAACCCTCATGTCCTGCCGAGACTCACGCTGCAGGATACATCAGGGATCGTGGGGAGTTTTGCAGCTGATGTGTCTTTCTGCTCTGTCTCAGGAGGACGCCAAAGACATTTTATAAAATTGGACTAATGATAGCAGGGTTTCTGCTTTTTGACATTGGCGGGTCCCTATGTTATCAACTTTTGAAGAAGACATCAGCAGCAGCTTCGGCCATGACAAAACTGTCAAGTCTGTAAAGGTTTGGTTCGTGCGACAAGTACTCAAAATCAGCTGATTTACAAGTTAAACTGTACGATGGAAGCGATTTGTGAGAATCGCAGGCCACCTGCGGCTTCTAGGACTCGCCAGCAAGTTGGAGTCGACCTTGAAGAAGGCTCATAGCTCGGTGGCATGCCCACAAATCTGATCATTTTGGATCTGGAAAGTTCCAGCAGGACTCAGGCCTGACAAGAACAAACAGTCTGAAGAAAAATCAACAGTTGGAGTTTATCTGAATCTGACTCCCCCGTTTGGCCTCGGATGTGGGCCGACTATAAAATTTCTCCTGGGACATGGATAAACTAAGGAAAAAGCTTTGTCTATCGCACCCCCCCCCCCCCCGAGAACTTCTGTGCAGGTTTATCAGAACAACAAAAACATCATCAGGACTATGGCCTATCTGGAAGTGCTTCATGGACAAATCTCACCGTCTTGACATCAAATGCATGTAACGTGTTTAGAAATGTGCTGCTGGTAAAGTTCTTTGCAAAAGTGTTGTGTTAGTAAAATATGGAACAATAAGATATAGGTTGTAGAGAACTTTGAGAACCAGCAGGACCTGTCGAAACACTTCACCGTCGTTTGTTTGTCCACAAAGAGAAACTCTGAAGTTTTGATTCAGGTTCTGTCAATGTCTTTATTTTTTTACATTTTATCTTAAATAAAAAGATTAACGGAGTTCTTTCTGTGTTTTTGAGGCCGGCAGACAAACAGGAGCTCCACTGAAGCAAGTCCAACGATGCAGGAATGTGCGCGTGCGCGTGCACGTGCGTGTGTGTTAATCCTCCTCGTTAGCGTTAATCATCAGGATGAGCTTCTCTTCTGTCTCAACTTGTTTGTTCCTTGACTCTTGAAGTTCTCACAGTTTTTTCAGCAGCTGGATCTCCTCCAGTCTGGGTTCAGTTCTGACCAGGTTCTGACGGTCTGTGCGGTTTCTGTCTGAGTTCTGACCCAAAGTGCTCAGCTGGTCCTCCAGAACTCTTCCAGTCAGCAGCAAAGATCAGCGCCTGCTGCCTGAGAGTCCATCTTCTGCAGCAGTCCATGTCCTGGAGCGCCTGAGAGGCTGGACCTCTCATGATCTGTAGCCCTCAGCACATGTGTTGAGGATGACTCTCAGCTACTGGACTTCAGCTGAACATCTGTACAAATGGCTGCGCTCTGTTTGTGTGTTCTAAGGTCACAGGCTGTGGATCTTTACTCAGGTTGACTCCAAAAGTTAATCATCAAATTATCACTTTCTGTAATTTTATTATCTGTCTGCTGGTTCATGAGATATTTTGCTAACAGATGGGTCCCACACACTAACACAGGAGCTGGGATGTGTAGGTCAACAACAGAACTAAGGTAGATCCAGTAGCTCCCCCTGCTGGGCCACCTGTAACCTGCTGTCTCCCGTAGGCCCTGTGGGGGAGCTGATCTCCAGCTGCACCAGGAGGCCCAGATGTCCACAAGCTGCAGGAGGAGAACCAGGGAGGAGGAGCAGGAGGTGAAGAAGAGGAGGAGAGACAAAGACGGGAAGGAGAACAGAAACCCTGAAGAGGATCTGCCTCAGAGCAGAACCACTCGGCACAAAGACCAGACTAGGTGAGACCTTCTGTGATGGTCCCTGATCAGTACCTGCAGCTCCAGACCCTCACACTTTCTGACCCCGCCCCCTGCAGGCTTTCACAGTCCAGAACTAGAGCCAGGACCACAGCCTGTTCCGCATCTAGGTCTGGCCCCATGTCCAGAGTTCAAGTCCAGGTCTGCAGACAGGAAATCAAAACTGCAAGGATCAGGAAGACCAGGAGTCCGAACCCTGTTCAGATCCAAGGGTGTGGAGCTATGACCTCCGCAGACCAGGCTGACCCAGGACCCAGTGACATACAGACCAGAACCACCTATGAGGTCAGTCAACCGCTCTGAGCAGGACTCTGACCTTGGACCGCCCCCTGATCTTTCTGTCTCGGTCTCAGGTCAGGTCCAGATCCACCATGAATCTGTCCACAGAGGCCAGCAGGAGTTCAAGCAGGGTTCCATGTCCAGAACCTAGCAAAACCGAATCCGGGCTGCAGAGAACCAGGACCAAGTCTGCGGTCAAAATGAAAATGAGGAAGAGGAGGAAGATTCACCCATCTGCATTCAGAGGGAGAGGTACGATCAATGAACCTGATCAGAACTGATTTACAGACTCTGATTGGACCAAGTGGCTGTCCGTCATGTTCCTCTGCCTCTGCTATAGGTCAGCTGCGGCTGTCAATCACCGTGGAGGCGGGGCAGCTCGTCATTCACAGTAAGTGAAGCAGCAACCTGAGAAACTGATCAGTGATCAGGGCTTAAACGACTACTTATTTATAAAAGTCGACTTTAACACGATAAAGGTCGAGTCGACTTCGACTAGTCGATGACGTCATAGGAACTCAAGACACTATCATATTTACAAATAAATATATATTAGAGAATGTAATTTATTATTTACAACATGATAGAATAGAAACAGCCTTTATTGTCCCACGGATGGGAAATTCAAGTGTAACAGCAGCAACAGATAAAAAGATTTCACACAAAAGTTCCTAAATGTTAATAAACAATACAATATATAAAGAAATAAGATAAACAATATCAATAATAATGTTCAACATGTGTTTGAAAAAAAACAAACAACAAAACATATTTATGCTCCTACCATTTATCATGCTGCAAATAAGCCAAAGGAAAAGCAAAACTACTATGAAGCTGCAAAATGCTGCATGTTTAGTTTTATTTCATTTACCATGTGAGTTAGGTGGACTAGGGTTGGGAACGGGGGGGGGGGGGGGGACTAGTTGACGTGAAATATAAAAACTTGTGAGATGACACAGACTCGACTAGTCGATTAGTCTATTCAGCCCCATCGGTGATCAGTCATAAACTTCCTGTTTCTGTCTGCAGTCCACGAGGCCCGGGGGCTGATGGGAAAGTCCCGCAGGTCGTGTGACTCATACGTAAAGGTGAGAAGCTGAACACCCGGACTCAAGGTGAAGGTTTGATTCCTGCAGCTGCCTCAGGTGTGTGTGTCCACAGGTGACCTCTGACCTGGACCACAGCATCAGGAGAAAAACACGGGCGGTTCTGGACCGAAAGAACCCGAAATACGAGGAGAACTTCTCACTGTGAGACACCGCCACACGCTCACACACACCCCTAACATCAGACACACCTTGGCCAGGTACGAGTCAAGGTTCTGAGTCATTCTCATCACATGTGGTACATGTGGTGGAATGAAATTATGTACTCAGGGTCCCAGTTACATCCAACAAAAGTATAAATTGTAAAAGAAAAACAATAATAAGATCTAAGATATGAACTAAGAAAAACATCAACTAAAAATACGCTAAGCACTAATAGTATAAAAACATTACACCAAAAAACAGCAGCACGAACATGAGTCTGTGTGAGCAGATGGGTATAAATGAACACTTCAACATGAAACAGATCAGCAGCAACATGAAACAGATCAGCAGCAACATGAAACAGATCAGCAGTAACATGAAACAGATCAGCAGTAACATGAAGCAGATCAGCAGCAACATGAAGCAGATCAGCAGCAACATGAAGCAGATCAGCAGCAACATGAAACAAATCAGCAGTAACATGAACCAGATCAGCACCAACATTAAGCAGATCAGCAGCAACATTAAGCAGATCAGCAGCAACATGAAACAGATCAGCAGCAGCATGAAACAGATCAGCAGCAACATGAAACAGATCAGCAGCAACATGAAGCAGATCAGCAGCAACATGAAACAAATCAGCAGTAACATGAACCAGATCAGCACCAACATTAAGCAGATCAGCAGCAACATTAAGCAGATCAGCAGCAACATGAAACAGATCAGCAGCAGCATGAAACAGATCAGCAGCAACATGAAGCAGATCAGCAGCAACATGAAGCAGATCAGCAGCAACATGAAGCAGATCAGCAGCAACATGAAGCAGATCAGCAGCAATCGCTGTTGTATTCTGTGGTAAATCCTCTCTCATACTCATCAGTTCTGTTTGGCTATAATTCACATGCTTAAAGCTTGCAGAGTCAGGATCGGAGTTGAATTCAAAACACCTGAAAACTGGGATCGCACCGGGAGCCAGTGGAGCTGCAGCTTCCCAGAGCACGGCCATCTTGGCATATGCATGTACAAGGACTGAAACTGATTAGACTGAAAGCAGGAATGCACATCGCCCGCCATCTTTCACTCGAGGTTTAATCCAGGGTCTTCCTTTGCTGAAAAATGACAATCCTTTTGGTTCATGCATGATAAAAAGAAGCAGAATCTAAAAAATACTTTCCTGTCAAGAATGTGGAAGACGTTTCCCTGACCAAGATGGCGGTTGCTCCATGCGCATACGTTTGTCACACAGATCTGAGCTTTTTGGTGTTTTTGTTCCTCAGGTGCATCACGGAGCGCCACCTCCTGAGCAGGCTGTTGGTGTCAGTGTTCAGACGACCCCCTGACTCCAGGTAAACGTTCAGATTGATCGTTTATTAACTCTAGACACAAAGTGGGTGGAGCCTGTGCTCCATTTAAACAGTACTGTACATTGAATTGCCTCTTTCCATTAGTTCCATTAGTACCATTAGTACCATTAGTACCGGAACAGCACGGTTTGACTCGGCTCAGTACGGTACACGTTATGTTTCCATTATACTTTCAGTACTGGTTCTAGTGGGAGGGTTCAGAGTTAAAAAATTGACGTCACACTCTTTACCAGCTGGTGGTAAGACCCTGAAACATGTTTCAGTACAGGGTGAGAATTTATTTAAAGTTTCTGGAAAATTTATATTTATTTATCTATATCTATATATCTATCTATATCTATCTATCTATCTATAGATAGATAGATAGATAGATAGATAGATAGATAGATAGATAGATAGATAGATAGATAGATAGATAGATATAGATAGATATCGATCGATAGATCGATATAGATAGATATAGATCGATCAATAGATTGATGGATAGATGGATAGAGATGATAGATGGATATATATATATATATATATATATATATATATATATATATATATATATTAGTAGTTATATTTTGTCATTTTTCAACAATGGACTCAGCATGAGCAGAAGATGAGACAGAAGACCATGGAGAACATTGTTTTTCACACAAGTCAGCTGACGGCTCCATATGAGAGAAATATGTGTTTGTTTGTCCTGTGGAGCGGGTCCGGTCTGTTTACATTCACACTGTACTGGAACCACTGGAGTTCTCTTCTACCGGACCCAGACCTAGGTTTTAGCCCGGGCCAGAGTTCACCTTTTTGTTCCGTGACAGAGTTCGATGGTGCGTTCACACCTCCCTAAACGAACCGGACTTTCTAGGAAAACGAGCTGGAGTTGGATTAAAGCGACTAAACGGGGCTGGTGTGAACGCAGCCTCAGCAGCTCAAATGTAACAAAAGGTCATGAATATTGGTCCCGAACCGAACCCAGTCTACCGGACTATCTGGTGTGAAAACGACCTAAATTCACCATTAAATCTCTGATAAATCAGATTCTACAAGAACATCTATATTTAACATTTGATAGGTTTTTCTTCATCATTTGATGTATTTACACTCATTGTGTCTATTTTTATTGTTTAATTTAGAAATGTGGTTTTGTTTCTTGTTCACATATATTTATTTTATTTTAGCTTTGATTTAAAGTTTAATTCTTGTTTAGTGGTTTGTTCATGCGTGCGTTAGAATAAAGTTGAACTAAAGGCTGAATCTCTTCTTTAAACATGTTGGAGGGAAATATTCCTGACAGATCCAATAACTGTCTTTTTATGATTCTTCAGCTGAGTTAACTTTAACAGATTATTTAATAAAGTCATTAAAGTGAAAACAGGATTTCATGATAAAGCCGGCACTGTTTATTTTTTACATCGTCACTGATTTTAAAAAAAAACTTTTTTTTTATGAGTACATAAAACGTTTTTAAAAATTGTTTCCACCCTCCATCCCAGACCCGTCATGGTCTGCCCCCTGCCTGCCGGGCGCAGGGTCCGGCCTCGCGTGCTCCTGTGGGTCGGCAGCTGGAGGATCTTCTGCGGTGGCCGGCGGAGCTCGGAGCCAGGGAGATGACGCCCGGCCAGACGGGGCTCCCAGGCTCCGGGGGAGAGGACTCCATCCAGCTCGCTCTGAATTTTGTCGTTGGCCACCAAACATAAAAAACGCCTGCACTTCAGCGTTAGACCACGGTGTTGTCATTATTGTTTTTAAAATCTTAAAAATAGGTCCAGTTGCTCTTCAGAGTTCGAGTTATTGCAAATGGCGGATTGGGTTGTTGTGAAAGTTTCTTAAACAACCAGTGACTCCGCCCCCTGACCCATCAGTGACCGGCTGTGTTTTAAGGCCAGCACGGTACACTTGGAACCCCAGAGCAATGGATCCTGAAAAAGGGGCCGGTTCCACGAATCCTTGCTAGTGGAACTGAGCCGAGTCGAGTCAAACCATGCTGTACTGGTACTAATGGAAAAAAGCCAAATGTCTGCTTGGATCCAGCAGGGAGGTTCTATCTAGGCAGTAAGAGCTGGAGCACCTCTGTTACAATTCACCTGACAGTGGGCGGAGCCACTCACCTGTCTCATACGCACCTGTCTGTGTTGCTCCTTAGGTGCAGCCAGCTGATTGGATGCATGAGCTTCGGGATTGGCTCTCTTGTCACATCGTCACAGGTTTGTTGAGAAAGCTGCTCTCATTGACTGTAGAGAGGTGGGAGCCACCTGTCTGTCAGGTGTGCAGGTGTTCTGTGACGTTTGGTAAGACTTTGATCCAGATCAACTTAAAATCTGTTTTCCTCCCTGAATCACCTTCTGGCCACGCCCCCTGTTGTGTTTACAGCAGCTCACTGGTTGGTTCTACCTGCTGGCAGAGGAGTATGGGCGGAGCAAACACCTGCGAGTGACATCACAGAGAAGCAGACCAATAAAGAGCCTCGAGGGAGAGTCGGATCAGAAGGAGGAGGAGTTAGGAGGTGAGTAAAACCTTTAGCTATCGTTTTACTACTTTTAGTAAATAGCTAACTTTTAGCTACATTTTGATTTATCCACCCTTTTGTTGCTTTTATCCTGTAGCTTGCCTTTACCATTCTACTACTTTGAGTTTTTAGCTAGCCTTTTGGTATTTTTAGCTTTTAGTTATTATTTGTCTACTTGAAAAAAAAATCTTTATTTAAGCAAATGACAAGTATACAACAAACAAACGAATGACGTATACAGAAGAACACAGCACTTACTGAACAAACAACCAGGGGTGTTAAATACATGCAAATATTTACAGATAGAGATTGTCCTGAGTTCCTTTTCACTGTGAGACTGTGTCATTAATTTAACATATAGGTCAAGGTCAAGGTCAAGGTTTCTTTGTCGTTCTCATCATATGTGGTGGAACAAAATTATGTGCACAGGGTCCCAGTTACATCCAACAAAAGCATAAATTGTAAAGAAAAACAGTGATAAGATCTAAGACACCAAGCACTAAGTACAAAACAATACACCGAACGACAGCAGCACGAACATGAGTCTGTGTGAGCAGATGAGGACGAATGAACACAGCAGCATGAAACAGATCAACAGCAACATGAAACAGATCAGCAGCAACATGAAACAGATCAGCAGCAACATGAAACAGATCAGAAGCAACATGAAACAGATCAGCAGCAACATGAAACAGATCAGAAGCAACATGAAACAGATCAGCAGCAACATGAAACGGATCAGCAGCAACATGAAACAGATCAGCAGCAACATGAAATGGATCAGCAGCAACATGAAACGAATCAGCAGCAACATGAAATGGATCAGCAGCAACATGAAACAACATGAAACAGATCAGCAGCAACATGAAACAACATGAAACAGATCAGCAGCAACATGAAACAGATCAGCAGCAACATGAAACAGATCAGCAGCAACATGAAACAGATCAGCAGCAACATGAAACAGATCAGCAGCAACATGAAACGGATCAGCAGCAACATGAAATGAATCAGCAGCAACATGAAATACATCAGCAGCAACATGAAATACATCAGCAGCATGGATAATCAGTAGGGGTGTAAATCACCAGCTTTACCACAATACAATATTATATTGATCAGTTTGTATGACGATATGATTTTTCTCTATATCACAAAGTCTGTCACGATACGATTTCGATTCTATTTGATTCACAAGTCTGCCATCGATATATTGAGATATCAAATGCACATCTCATTTAAATATAAATAAATAAATAAATAAAAACAATTAAAATATGATTTAACCATTTTATTTCTGTCATTACAGGCACCAGGCATTTAAAATAATAATAATCCATCCATCCATCCATTTTCTTTACCCGCTTGTTCCATTTTGGTTCATGGGGGTCTCTGGTGTCCATGTCCAGCAATCACTGTGCGAGGGGCGGGGGACACCCTGGACGGGTCGCAAGTCCATCACAGGGACACATACAGACAAACGAGACAAACAACCATTCACTCTCTCACTCTCACCTAGGGACAATTTAGAGTTACCAATCAGCCTAACATGCATGTTTTTGGTCTGTGGGAGGAAACCGGAGCACCCGGAGAAAACCCACGCATGCACGGAGAGAACATGCAAACTCCACCCAGAAAGGCCCCTGGACCGGGGTTTGAACCAGGGACCTGCTCACTGAGAGTCAGCAGCTCTACCAGTTGCGCCACCATGCTGGCCAATAATAATAATAATAATAATAATAATTTTTCTTAATTAATGAAAAACTAAAAATAATGACCTGTTCAGTATAGTCTCACATTTGTCATGTTTAAGTGCATTTTTTAAACCAGTTAACTTAAAAGTGCCCTGATGACCTTGCAGTTATAAAGAAACTAAAACAGATATTGAGTTTATAAAACATGACTATCAACGCCGTGTTTCTTCTTCAGGTGAACAGACAAGTTTGTTGTTTCCTGAGTATTTTAACTCACACTGGCACCTGCTGCATATGACACAAGTATTTTAACTCATACTGGCACCTGTTGCATACGACACGAGTATTTTAACTCACACTGGCACCTGTTGCATACGACACAAGTATTT